GAACAAAAAATCATATCATTGTGTGCTCACCTCCCCATATGATCGCTGAAGATAAATGGGTGCATAAGCAAATGTGGTGAAGAAAGCTGATGTGGGAACAACCCGTTAGATTCATGGTCGATGTACCCAAGGCGCAGCTATCACCTGTCTGGCAGTGGAGGACTGCAGACAGGCTTCAGAGGGGCTTCCAGATTAAGATGAGCTAGGAAGAAAGGCCTGGTGATCTGCTTCTGGAAGCCAACCAGAGAAGAACCCTCTGGATTGCAACAATACGATGCATGGAGGCTCGTGGAAGTGAGGTACAACCAGAAGGCGTTTAAGTCCACTTCACTCAGTGTTGCCGCGAGTCAGAGGCTGACCCAGCAGCTAGCAGCAACATCACGAAACAAACACCATCCAGCAAAGGGTCTCTGAAACCCACTGGTTCGCTACCACCTAAGCTCAGGGGCGCATGCCTGTCTATCTGTCATATTCCAGAGGCACTGGCTCTGCCACCGAGGCAGCTGCTGAGCAGAAGGGCCCTCTTGAACCAGAGGTTGTCCAGGGAAGCCAGTTCTGGAAAGGGATGGAGACCTAGTGCACTTAGAGACAAGGGAAGGAAAGCCTCCACTGGGCATCCAGACATTTTCGTCTTGCTTTCAGGACACCTTAGGTTGTCTTCGAGGAAAAGAAGTCAGGAGGTCCTATGCCAATGACGGCAAGTGGGTTTCATCTCAAGTGAGAACTCCAGTAATCACAGTGGCGGGGACATGGGGATGCTATAGAGAAAGGTTCTGGGGTTGGTTGGTTGGGGTTTTGGGGGGAGTTACGGGGGAGGGGGCTGGGGGTGGGCACGGGCATATCCATGGGAGATATGCTACAGACATCTCTTGAGCCACGAATCTGTCACTCCTCTCAGGTACCCTCGTCAAACTCACCTGCAGCTATATGAAAAGAGCAGTCTACTGTACCTAGGAGATGCAGTAGTTCCATGCCAGGCTACTAGCTGAAAGGTCAGAGGTTCAAACCCCCAGTCATTCCAGGGGAGAAAAGACCTAGTGATCTGCCCTTTAAAGAGTGTAACCTAGAAAGTCTATGGGGCGGTGCTACTCGAGAGATGTCCTAGAGTCACTAGTGAGTTGGAGTTGATTCAGTGGTGCACACTCTAAACATCTTTCTGTGCTTTTATGAAATTTAAAATTGTGTCCCTTTAATCCTCTTCCTGTTGATAAACTGTAACACAATGTCATTTAAAAAGGAAGAGAAGGATTTCCCCTCATGGGACAGCTACAGTTTGAGGGTTTGAGTGCGCCCTCTGGAGGTCATATGCAGTGACCACACAGACTGGACTCCAGAGCCCAGGGATATAGGAGCCTCCACCAAGAGAGCAGGAAGGCTCAGCCTTGGAGCCTGGTCCTTTCAGACTTGGTAACTTCCTAACAGCTACTTAATGGTCCTCGAGGCTTAAGGAGTGAATGAGAGGTCATCAAAATTTGGAGACCAGAAAATTCTCTACTCCTGGGACTATAGGCTTTTTTTTTAATATCCAAGAAATTCCAGCAAAATAATAATTAACCTACACAATGCTCACAGTCATCAAACACCCTAAGGAATTCGTGGCTCATCAATTAGCTAGTCACCTGAGAGAAAGAAACACGCTGGGTCGGTGACGCTGAAATGAGAACTAGGAAAGCAAGCTGTAACCATCCATGAAGTATCTTTCTAGCATTTGGGCCAAGGGTGACCTTGGGATTGGCAGAAGTAGGACTTCGCTAACCAAAGAGACTTCCACCCACTCAGAGCAGCAGAATGAAGTGCTAGTTCATCTGGGTCTCAAAAAGCCAGCTGGGGCCATTTCACTCTGCCTTTGCTATGACTTCACTGAATCAACGCTCGCTGCACACGGCTCTATTCTGGGCACTGAGATAGAGGCTGGGGATGGACCAGAGATGAAGGGGCACAACCTGGGTCCTCCCAGCACTCAGTCCAGGACCAAAGGCCAGAAATAGGCAAGTAGCACATGCAACACCAGAGAGGGGTGAGGACACAGGGTTTTGACCCTATGAAACTGGGTTTGGGAAGGAACATTCTGCCACACTTGGCCACTGCAGTTATCTGCCTTCACTTACCAGTGGTCAACAGAATATCTCGGAAGAAAGGACAAATGAACAAAATCGAGATGATGTGGAGATACGCGGTGAAGCCAGGAAACAGCTTCTTGAAGGCAGAATGGTTTGTACCAAAATTCCCAAAGGCTCCAGCAGTCAGGGCTCCATGGGGGTGAAACCCAAATAGGTAGTTATGACTCAGATCCAAATCCTGCGTTTTGATGAGCTATAGATTAAAAAACAAAAGTGAAATGTTCTCTTCTTAGTTTGTAGTGAGACATGAAAGGAGAGTCCCAGTGAGCTCCTCTGTCCGGAGGAGACAGAGAGCCGGGTTATTTTCGTTTCTCTGGGTTGAAGATGTTTCGGTATGCCTGTACTCTCTCCTGGCTCCAGAGTCCTCCACACACAGACTTCTCCAGGTAGCTACAAATCCTTTTAGCAAGTCGGACCAAATTGCATGCTTTCTCACTCAGAAAAGGAAAAAGCTGGAAATCTCCAGAACTCACTGCCATTGAGTTGATGGCAACTCGCTACTGACCCTAGAGGACAGGGTAGAGTTGCCCCGTGAGTTCCTAAACCTGTAACTCTTTACGAGAGTAGAAAGTTTGATCTTTCTCCTGAGGAGCAGCTGGTGGTTTTGAACTGTTGACCTTGCAGGTAGCAACCCATCTTATAATCACTATGCCACCAAGGCTCCTGGAAATATAGTGGAGGACAAGAAATTTCCAATCTTCTCCGCAATACAAGATAACACAATGCTACTTACATGAATTGGAAAATAGTCCATAAAGTACCTCCAAACTATGCAGCTTCTGATCCAATGGCACCTCCTGCCTCCTTGCGCCGGGGTTTGCAAATCGAAGTAGAACCATACAAGGTAAGGGATATAAAGGAACCAATAATTGTTGATGATCAGGATGGCAAAGATGATAATACATATCGTTGCTGCAGGAAAGGTAAAAACACCTTATGAAACCAACACCATTATCACCTGCTCCCTGCATTGTACAATCACTGGCCCATGGTCTCACTGCCTGCCAAGCAGCAAATTCTGACTCAGAGCAACGAGACTATAACACTTTATGGGAGTAGAAACCACATCTTTCTCCTATGGGAGGATGGAGATTTCAAACTGCTGATCTTGTGGTTAGCAGCCCAACACATAACCCACTACACCACCGGGGCTCCTTAATGTAATCCACCCAAGGTATACTGAACTGAGCCTGAGCACATTGTATGAACCCACATTTATTGGATGATTACTATGTGCCAAGCATTGTGAGCTCTGTCTGAATAGTCTCATTTAGCATTATTTATAGCTCTGGTTCTGATGGTTCATTGGCAGAATTTTCCCTTTCCAGGCAGGAATCTTGGGTTCAATTTTGGGTCAGTGCACCTCCTGTGCAGCCACCACCTAAATTTCAGCAGAGACTGATGTATTACTATAATGATGAACAGGTTTCACCAGGGCTTCCAACTTAAGATGAACTGAGAAGAAAGCCTGCTGATCTACTTCTGAAAATCAGCCAAGGAAAACTGTATGGATCACAGTAGCCCAATCCATTACCCTTTGTGGGGATGGCATGTAGTGGCATGCAATTGGTTATTGTTTTGAAATACCTATAAGACAGTTCAAAAACTATATGACTCTGTCTGTCTTTAGAGAAGGGGAAATGGAAATAGAGAGGGATTTAGTTAAACTGCCCCAGTGACCCAGTGGGGTGGTTACATATTTCATGTTCATTCATGTACATACACTTGATAAATAAGTGTATAGGTAGAGTCTAGCCTGTCAATCAGGTCATGGCCTAATGGTACCTCCTTGTGGGCGTGGTCTTCTTCCTAAGGAGGATCCTGGGAACTCCTCTCTCTCTGCTTTGAGAGCCACTCGGAAACCTGCTGGAGACCTGCGGGATCCCTGGAGATGAGTTCATCGTCACTGGATCCACAAGACTTTGCACCCACCAGCCTGTGATCTTCCTTCATTCTGCATCATTGCATGTGGCTGTGTGAGTCTGAAGAGGGACTTATGGACTAGTATTGGCCTTATGGATTTGATCTGGACTGGGCTGGGATGTTTGCTTGATATATAATTACTTCTTGATATAAAGCTCTCTCTTACATATATGAGTGTCTCTGGATTTTGTTTCTCTAGTCAACTCGGCCTAACATACTCAATATGTAAGTGTTTGATCTGTGTGACTTCCAAGCCCATTCTCTTAGCCATGAGCACACATTACCTCCCCCATTGACTTGAGGGATGTGGCTAAGAAGGGAAGTGTTGAGAATTTCCAACTCTAGGTGCTCACCTTGACTGAGCAGTTATTATTTGTGTGTGTCTCTGACCAGGGCACTTTCTGGCAACATTTTCAGGATCTCTGTTGACAGAGATCGAAATAGCACAGGAGAGACTCTATATTTTGCCTCACAGATGTCACTTCTTACAACATTTCAGAGCAGCAGAGGAACCCTAATGGTTTATGCCCCCAATAACTGCACTTCAAAATCCACAGCAAAGATTGGGTGCTAGTTACAAGAGTCTTCCCTTTAGGGATACATTGGGCGAAACTATTGGGGGTTCAAAGAGTTGGTGGGGGGGGGATGAAAAGTCTTTTTTTCCTTTTGAAGTCCCCTAGCACATTTGTTTTTAGTCTATACTGTGTGTCACAACAAAATTAATTTTGAAAGGAGAACGAGAGAACATACATGAAGCGATAGCCTGGCAATTGTAAGTGCCGAAGTGCCAACCATTACCGCGACTTTCAAGAGTTCCCTTGTCCATCTCTTTCATGCAGGGCTGCCAACTCCAATCTGAGGGACCTCAACCCCCAAACTCCTCTCCATTCCTTATCAACTGTGTTAAAAATGACTCATCAGGACTGCTGAGTAGCAGCTCCCTAATCTCCTACAGCTGTGTGTCTTTAGTTTAAAAGCAGTGGGGGCGGGGGGTGGTATTCAAATTCCTAGAATCCTTAATGCAACAACTTTCCCAATGTGAATTTCACCAAAACATATCACTGAACTTGGTCAAAAGACTGGCTTGCTGTTCCTTCTAAGGTGAGTTAAAGATTAACAGAGTAGGTGAGAGGTGAGGGGAACTTCGGCTTTCTACACTTCTGCGGAGTAGTTTGTTGCCTTCTGGAACTGCCAAGTTTCCATGAGTGCAGAAGTAAGGCCAACGCCGTGCCCTCTACACTCATTTAAACCAAGATCATTCCATTTTGCTTCACCTATTTCCTTCCATCCAGCTTGGCCCACTGACAACGTACTACCATGGGTTAAGTTTTAATCAATTTACTATAATGTGCAAAATCGTACAAAGAACCATTAGGTCTCATTCATTTGTTCTTAAAGGCAGATGAGACTGAGCTAAGGTGGTGCAGGGAAGGGAAAGTAATTGAAAGGTTACCAGTCACTTCACAGGGTATATTGAACTGAGCCTGAGCTCAAGAAATCTCATTGACCCCTCCCCACCGTCCTCAACATATGTCTTATTGTCACCACTGGTGAAGAATACAGAATATACCACGGACTGCCAGAAGAATAAATGCATCTGCCTCAGAAGAAGTACATCAAGAATCCTCCTTGGAAGCAAGGATGGCAAGACTTCTCACATACTTGAGACATGTTATCAGAAGGGACCAATCCCTGGGAAGGACACGATGCTTGGTGAGTTAGTTAATTGTGCCAGCCTGGCCGATAATCACATATGGGGCTAATTGAAAGGCGGAGGGATAAATGGGTGGTGAGCCTCGCCTTTCTAGTTCTCCGGTCTCTTGTTTTGTGATGGCTGCACCGGGTGCAGCTGTCTTAGCAGTTCCCTGCCTCAGCTTGCAAGATTGACTTCCTACAAGACATCCCCAAGGAGAAGCTACATGGACCTATCCCGATGCAGCCCTGGGTGCTGGACCAGCTGTGTGGAGACCCCTGCTAGTGCTGAGATGCTTGTTCGTTCACTGTCTCAGCTTTCCTCCTGCAGTTGGCATCATTGCCTCTGTTTTGTGAGGTGGAGGACTTTGTGGACTGGTGTTGGGTTAATGGGTTAATGTTGGATTGGTGGGCTTGGGCAGCATTGGGTTGGGATGTTTTCGTGATGCACATTTTCTTTACATAAAACTCTCTTTATACATGAGTCGCTGTGGATTTGTTTCTTCAAAGTACCTAGACTAATATACTTGGTAAAGGGTCAGCATGAAAGAGGAAGACCATCAAGAAGATGGGTGGACAAAGCATCTACAACAATGGGCTCAAACATAACCATTGTGAGGACATTGCAGGACTGGAGAGCATGTCATTCTGTTGTTGGTTGGGTCGCTGTGAGTTGGAACTGACTCCGCAGCAACTAGCAACAACAAAACCAAATAATTCACCCAGACAAGACAGTCAAGAAAGGCTTAAACCAGGAGTTGAAAGGGCAAAGGGAACTTCTGTTGTGAGAGTACTGGAGTTACTGTCTTATCGATTGTTTTGTCCTTGGGTGTCGTCAAGGTGGTCCTGACTGCGGGAGGCCCTGCGGACAACAGAATAAAGCAGTGTAAACCCTGCAGATTATTTACTGTTGGCACACCCGTGGGGCAAAATCCCAACTTTAAAATTGGGGATGCGATAACTCATCTCCGTGCACATGGATCAATCCCAGACACTAATCACAAGCACGTACACCCCGATTTTAGTGAGGTGAAGCACATAGGAGCATCTAGAAAGAACGTTTCCCCAAAGGGTCATATCTCAATCTAATCAAGTCTTGAGAAGAAAAACAGGGAACGTGTTCACAGAAAAAGTCAATAGCCGGAAGACGGGACATCCTGGCTCCTTCCATAAGCACTGACCAGAAGACAGCAGGAAGGCACCACTGGGCTAAGCCAAAACAGAGGCCAAAGGTGCCTGGCAGGTCTTATTCAGATCCAGTTTCACCAGTAAAAGTGCATTTCTGGCCATGTTGGAGAAGTCCACACATGAACATACTGTTGTTGCTATTCGGTGCCATCGAGTCAGCTCGGACTCCCAGCCACTCAAAGTTCAACACCGCATGGTCCGGCGCCTTGTCACAATTGTTCCTGTACTTGAGCCCACTATTGGAGCCCTGGGTCGATTCCTCTTGCCCAGGACCTTCCTCTTGTGCATTGCCCCTCTAGTTTACCACACAGGATGTCCTTCTCCAGGGACCGGTCTCTCCTGACATGGCTAAAGCAGGTGAGATGACATCTCGCCATCCTTGGCCCTCAGGAGCATGCTGGCTGCACTTCTTCCAAGGCAGATCTGCGTGTTCTTTGGGCAGTCCATGGTACTGTCCATATTCTTCGCCAGCACCGTACTTCAGACGCATCGCTTCTTCTCCAGTCTTCCTTAGTCACGGACTTGATTTACATGATTTTAAGGAACTGATCTTGATTGTGTAGAACACCATCATGGTACTGTGCTTGTATTTTTTTAAAACCCACTTATTTTTAAAATATGTGTACTAATGGATTTAGGATTGAAACATCATAGCGTGGCTCATTTGAAGATTTTTTTTAGGAAATAAATAAAACACAAAGAAATAGCAAATCATTGTCAACCAACATGGTGGTTACGTAGGCGTTCAAATCCTTCTGTCTCCTCTTTGGAAAATTTGAAAAGTGCACTGTGCAAATAAATAAATAAAATAGAATGGCATGATAAAACATGTTGCAAGTCAATTTTATATACACAATAATACAAAAATAAAGGTGCAGCTGGTAATACAAATGTCAAATACTTTGAAGAAATGGTGTGTGTCAGGCATAGGGGGTGGGGGCGGGGAGGGCATGTCTGACATCCTCTGACTTGGCTAGGGGGAAGGAGAATCCAGCCCCACGCTGCCACAGACTGATTTTTACCAGGCATCATCAGACAGGCCTCCACCTTTTTTATCCTTTTCAGACCACAGCCATCCGTCTCACGGCACTTTATTTCTCTGTTGGGTG